ATGCGGCCTACCATGCGAGAGATATAGTAGCAGTTAGCGATCTCAGGTACGCGTTTAAGACCTAATCAGACTCTTGGCCGCGGGATGGTTGACGACGGTACGTCCGAGAAGGGATTCAGATGTCCCTCTTCAAGTATCACAGGAATACTCAATCACTACATGAGTGATATGCACCGCTAGTCTAATGGTTAGGATATCTGCCTTCCAAGCAGATGGTCCGGGTTCGATTCCCGGGCGGTGCAGTCCGTATCAACGAGAGAAGGGTCTCTAGGCTATCGTAGAATAGTTATGCTCAGCACGTCAGGGCGATACAGGAGTTTCTATGTATGAGCAGCTTGGCGCAGTGGATAGCGTGTTGGGCTCATAACCCAAAGGTCCTTTGATCGAAACAAGGAGCTGCTATTCATTACAATACACTCGAGATGGTTATTAAACTGAGAGGTGCAGCTTATCGACTGCATAGATCAGTCTTACCGAAAAATTTCCACTAAACAGAGTCGGTGTTTTCGTACCATTCCGTGCGGTTGGCCCAACCGTGCCAGTTCAGGGGAAAAACAACATTAATAAAGCGTTGTCCATGCATAGAAAAGAGCTATTCACCTAGAGCAGAACTCCTTGCAGGAATGATGAATGACCGCCCGGTACCGCAGAACGCGTTGCGGAGATGAAACAACCGCCCAAATTCACGAGCCGCCGCATGCGGTTTCAAAATGTGCTTGCAAGCAGGAACTTCGATGTCACGAAAAAGTTGTGCAGCTTGTGCCGAGCTAGCTGTAGTATGCGATGAGAACTTCAGCAGTTGGAGTTATCAACCGAGATAGAATGCGGCCTACCATGGGAGAGATATAGTAGCAGTTAGCGATCTCAGGTACGCGTTTAAGGCCTAATCAGACTCTTGGCCGCGGGATGGTTGACGACGGTACGTCCGAGAAGGGATTCAGATGTCCCTCTACAAGTATCACAGGAATACTCAATCACTACATAAGTGATATGCACCGCTAGTCTAATGGTTAGGATATCTGCCTTCCAAGCAGATGGTCCCGGGTTCGATTCCCGGGCGGTGCAGTTCGTATCAACGAGAGAAGAGCCTCTATGCTATCGTGGAACAGTTATGCTCAGCACGTCAGGGCGATACAGGAGTTTCTATGTATGAGCAGCTTGGCGCAGTGGATAGCGTGTTGGGCTCATAACCCATAGGTCCTTTGATCGAAACAAGGAGCTGCTATTCATTACAATACACTCGAGATGGTTATTAAACTGAGAGGTGCAGCTTATCGACTGCATAGATCAGTCTTACCGAAAAATTTCCACTAAACAGAGTCGGTGTTTTCGTACCATTCCGTGCGGTTGGCCCAACCGTGCCAGTTCAGGGGAAAAACAACATTAATAAAGCGTTGTCCATGCATAGAAAAGAGCTATTCACCTAGAGCAGAACTCCTTGCAGGAATGATGAATGACCGCCCGGTACCGCAGAACGCGTTGCGGAGATGAAACAACCGCCCAAATTCACGAGCCGCCGCATGCGGTTTCAAAATGTGCTTGCAAGCAGGAACTTCAATGTCACGAAAAAGTTGTGCAGCTTGTGCCGAGCTAGCTGTAGTATGCGATGAGAACTTCAGCAGTTGGAGTTATCAACCGAGATGGAATGCGGCCTACCATGGGAGAGATATAGTAGCAGTTAGCGATCTCAGGTACGCGTTTAAGGCCTAATCAGACTCTTGGCCGCGGGATGGTTGACGACGGTACGTCCGAGAAGGGATTCTGATGTCCCTCTACAAGTATCACAGGAATACTCAATCCCTACATAAGTGATATGCACCGCTAGTCTAATGGTTAGGATATCTGCCTTCCAAGCAGATGGTCCGGGTTCGATTCCCGGGCGGTGCAGTTCGTATCAACGAGAGAAGGGTCTCTAGGCTATCGTAGAATAGTTATGCTCAGCACGTCAGGGCGATACAGGAGTTTCTACGTATGAGCAGCTTGGCGCAGTGGATAGCGTGTTGGGCTCATAACCCAAAGGTCCTTTGATCGAAACAAGGAGCTGCTATTCATTACAATACACTCGAGATGGTTATTAAACTGAGAGGTGCAGCTTATCGACTGCATAGATCAGTCTTACCGAAAAATTTCCACTAAACAGAGTCGGTGTTTTCGTACCATTCCGTGCGGTTGGCCCAACCGTGCCAGTTCAGGGGAAAAACAACATTAATAAAGCGTTGTCCATGCATAGAAAAGAGCTATTCACCTAGAGCAGAACTCCTTGCAGGAATGATGAATGACCGCCCGGTACCGCAGAACGCGTTGCGGAGATGAAACAACCGCCTAAATTCACGAGCCGCCGCATGCGGTTTCAAAATGTGCTTGCAAGCAGGAACTTCGATGTCACGAAAAAGTTGTGCAGCTTGTGCCGAGCTAGCTGTAGTATGCGATGAGAACTTCAGCAGTTGGAGTTATCAACCGAGATGGAATGCGGCCTACCATGGGAGAGATATAGTAGCAGTTAGCGATCTCAGGTACGCGTTTAAGGCCTAATCAGACTCTTGGCCGCGGGATGGTTGACGACGGTACGTCCGAGAAGGGATTCTGATGTACCTCTACAAGTATCACAGGAATACTCAATCCCTACATAAGTGATATGCACCGCTAGTCTAATGGTTAGGATATCTGCCTTCCAAGCAGATGGTCCGGGTTCGATTCCCGGGCGGTGCAGTCCGTATCAACGAGAGAAGGGTCTCTAGGCTATCGCAGAATAGTTATGCTCAGCACGTCAGGGCGATACAGGAGTTTGTACGCATGAGCAGCTTGGCGCAGTGGATAGCGTGTTGGGCTCATAACCCAAAGGTCCCTTGATCGAAACAAGGAGCTGCTATTTATCATAATACACTCGAGATGATTACCAAACTCAAAGGTGCAGCTTATCGACTGCATAGATCATAAATTTTCACTAAACAGAGTCGGCGTTATCGTACCATTCCACGTGATTGACCCCATCGTGCAAGTTCATGAAGGAACAGCGTTGATAAAGCGTGTCCGTCCAAAGAAAAGTTATCTGTCCGTTATCGAGGAGTTACTCCTCGATAACCGATTAACTCTGCTTAGCATCATTAACCATTCCTCAGGAGTAGTTACGCCTAACACGTCGATGGGATACCGAAGTGTTTGAACGTGAGCAGTTTGGTGCAGTGGATAGCGTGTTGGGCTCAGTGGGCACCACATGAGCGGATGAGGCTTCTAACAGCTCATTTAGGTTCAACTGCTGAAATTCAGCAGTTATTACTGAAATTCCTGAGACTGAAATTTTATTACTGAAATTACTTTACTGAAATTCAACCCGGCATATTAGGGGCTCTATCCGACCGTCAGAATATATGATACTGTGGTAATAGCCGTGAGAATGTAGCCATCAAACAAGATGAGATGATGTGAACACAAGTACGTCCAAACAGCATTGAAACCCATTCTCAGCGACAATGTTCAGTGATGCAGCAACTTCATTGGAGCGGAGCGAAATACGTATCACATATTAAAATACAGCTGCAAGAGCAATGGTGAATCACCATTAGTGATATTATCAATTCATCCCATCAGGTAGAGCCATAGCGGATTTTAAACAGTCTCGACATCGATTCAGTATAATCTTCATATCATCTTCAGTGATAATTCGTACAGTGTTGGTCGCCTAATTCAGCAACGTTACCCAGGATCCAACTTTCCACCAAGAATCGCACAGACATAAAACTCACGCTGAACTTCCTCAACTCTGCCTTGAATGTGTCGATGAATGTTCTGAATCCAGTCGCCAGGATTTGCTGTTGGTAGGTTGGGAGCTCTCCGAACTCCTCTCGGGCTGCCACGTGTACTGCTTCCGGAGCTATCACATGCACAATAATTCTTCCTCCATTTTCAGCCTACCATTACTCATCTCGCTGCCAACAATCTCCATGAGTTCAGCGATTTCCATCGAAGTCTCCTCAGCTTGTTGTTTCTGAGGTACAGCATATCTCCATCGCTAATGTGTGTAGATTCACTTCAACGTCTCCGTCCAGCGGCCATTCCCCCGTCCGTCTCCACGCTGCAATACAGTACCTTTCTACTACATCATACTGCAGTGGAAGAGCATAACTACCGACAAGCCTCCCAGTCCTCACAGTCTGTGCAGTGTGTAATGACTTGTGAAGGGTCACTGCTTATGGTGAGGCACACATCGCATATCAACGGCTCATCATCTAGCGCCCCATAACAAACCTAGCCAACCGAAATTCACATCGTCTCACCTTTGCCACCAGCAGCCTTCAACGTTTCACTTCTAGCTGCCCAAGTCAACAGTCTCGAGGCATGCCCCCTAGGGCATGTGACATCACCCTAAGGGGGCCCTATTCATCTCCTACACATTGCACCATGCTTACCCCCATTTCCTCCCCTGGCTTATACGGTGGGACGTCTTTCCACTCCTGCGGTACCCCTTTGCTGTCCCGCAGCGTATGGTCTGGCTCCACTCTAACCTTGGCAGTCTCTGCCGGGAATTCAGCTCCGTGACCCGTATAGCTCAGGTTAGCATCACCTGCTTATGATAGTACCACAGACAAGAGTCGGGCATTATCACCTGTATCAGCTGTGATGCTCTCCACCGTTGCAGGCCACCATACTCGCGATACAGCATCAGGATCGTCAGAATCAACCTGTATTAGGAAGCAGTGTGGGAAAATATGCATACGACCAACTACATGTATTAGTAACGAAATGAGAGTTTTGAGGAGATTTTCTGATAATTCTCATTGGTTCTCGTATACCTCTACTGGAATTCGTATACAAACTTGTATAATTAGCTTTGGAAACTCCTGAGCTCAACTGAGGTAAGCCGAGAATCTTCGTAGCATATACACTAAGTAGCATGTACTTTTCACAATGCCAGTACTATACACATAGGAGCGTCAATTGAAGATGATCGCGAAAAACCCACCTCGTCATCAATCAGCTCCCACCTGACCAAAATTTCCATGCCCTTCTTGAGGCCGTGTAAGACGTCCTCTTCCTTCTCCTGATGGGACACCTTAGCCTTCCTGAACAGCAGCAATCACACTCTCCACTATCTCAGTTACCACCCTGACTCCCATTGGAGAGCTTACGATAAAATAACCACCAAATTGATCTCGTCGAAAAACAACAGCGACAAAAAAACAGCAGTTTGTTACCAGCGATCACATTTTATCATATTCATCTGATCACCATCCGTAACAATTTTACTTGTGTTGTTGTTGTTGCTCAATAGCAGAGGTGCTGCTGGCCTCCTCCTCCCCCTCCTGCGAACTCATGCTTGACACGGGCCTTTTCGACATACTACACGAGAAATCCCAACCGACTGACTCAAAAAACGACGAGTGCGATTCAGTAACAAACCCAACACACATTGTTTAACAACCAGAGACAAAATTTCAGCAATGATATTTCTCTAGAGGTGTTTTAAAAATCACTCCGGGGCCGGCAGATACGTATCAACAGCATTGCTGCTGCTACTGCTGCTTGACGATGTATTGGCCGCTGCCGCTACTGCAGGAACCCTCACTTGCCACAATGGTCGGGCTGACTCCAGACGATGTGTCGGCACGTCAATCACCAATACGTAACTACCACAACCACTACAAGGGGAGATACGAACAACACATTCTAAAGAACTTATTTTTCCAATTCGGGAAAAAACATATACCAGCAACGATTTCGAATATGACGGTTTCATTCCAATGTATAAGAGCTAACCATGCTTTGTTAAAAACTCTCATTCGTTTTCGAGAAACACTAAATTTTCGGAGAATTTGCCCAACAAAAAACGCTCCTTACCTATTCCCTGTTATTATCAGGCGACGGCCCTGCTCGTCGAATTGATGAGCTGCATAGGGGAAGTCCGCCGGTACACCGTCTACTGTTGCCAAGAAGGATCGCAGCACCGCATGCTCCGGATTATAACTAAAACAATAGAGCTCACCAATGACCGGTATAATATCCCCGACGTGCCTCCTGATAACCATGTCATCGCCATAGAGCATTCTAGGAAGCCTCATTCTCTTAGCCATAGCTCCAGCATTCTTCGACGTAGCAGCACCAGTAGTAGCAGTAACGCCTTCTGCCGTGCTACGAGTGAAGTCCAGGAAGCCCACCATAGGCTTGGTAACTAGTCCTCCCACACCACGAAGGATACCCTTGCCGAGGCCGTTGATACCCTAACAAAGCTCAGATAGAATTCTCGATAATTTTGTCTCGATTTTTTCAAGGTACGGGTTCTAAGGACGTGGAGTTCAATAGCATCTACTTCAAGAATTCAGCTCCCAACTCGCCTCAGATGAGAAACTCCGGCATTGTACAATTTGGCAATGTTCAGACTGCGCGTACTGTATGCAACCGACAGGGAAAAGAGGGTTGCCACTATAGATTCCAGTGAGCATTCTCATCGGCTCTTACTTCGTAGTGGACAACCACAAATTCACATTTTGCTATAAAAATTCCACATGTATAGAATTCATATTGCCGAAAGCGATACCACAATCTCAGGTCAACTACCTCTTGTTCAACCGCCTCCACCGGTTTCAGTACAAGGCCAGAGATACCCGAGAGTATACCTCTACCAAACGATGCAGCACCAACAGCAACACCGTCCCCCATATGGACTGGCCTATTACGCTGAGCAAACCGTTGGCGGTCTTGCTGGAATCTGGACAATACAATAACAATAATAACAAACGAAGCATCTAAGAGGACCCACTCGTCGTCCTGTGTGAGGACACTCATGGTCTGTGCTGCTGTCCCTGCTATCTTTCCCAAGGAGTTGAACACACCGAAAGCTGTATTCCGCACGAACGACCGCGCTCCCTTCGCCGTACCACCAGCAACACTCAGAACATCACCAGCGCTTTGAACCTGACCTCGAATGAATCTTCGACTTCGACGACCTGACCAAAGATGTGCTCACATTCATAATGGCCGAGTAAGGCTCGTAGAATAGATCTGAAATCCCCTGACTGACGTGATTGAACAGACCTATAGGATTCCCAATAGCATCGGCCGATCCCATAATCGTTCGGAGCTCCCGGAACCTGACAAGAGCTTAAACTACTACTACTACCACTCGCTGAGGAACTTGCTTACAATTGATGCTTATAATGTTCTGCTATTATGGTATGGAGAGAACTACGGCTAACACTTAGACTGTATAGGATCAATGCGTTCAATTGCACCGGGGAATGGTCCACTGCTGACATCGATGCTAATACACGATACACCAGACTGTAGCTGAAATGGAGTAAATCAATTGACAGTGGGGCGGCTGCATAAACTCACTCCTTCAGGAATTTCTGTTCGGTGCTGCCCGGAGAGAACGACACGAACACCCTAGTCGGATGCAAAGTAAAAACCTGTCACCAACCGTTCTGCTTTTATCACTAACCGTCCTGTTACATCGAAATGAAGATCATTGCTGCTGTCCTCAGGCAGAAGCTCAATCTCTGGCTTTACCTCAGCGGGCCACTGTCGACCCTTACCATTGGCGTCGGAGTGAATTCCATCTATCAGCGACACCTAAGGGGAGTTAGTGAGAGTTTCAATGGTGCCGCTATACTCACCATGTCGAATATGAAGCCGAAGTCAAATGCCAGTTCAGACTCCTGCACGAGAATGCTCAGGTTATCGAAATATCTGAGAAAAAATACTGCGGTCAGGAATCGAACTCGGGACCTTTCTACGTCAAGCTAGCTTCTATATCCCTCAACGAAGCAGCGACTTCCAGCATTGGATGAGATGCTCTCTGTGGGACTCCTTGCTGCTGCTGCTGTGACCGTGAGTTCCCTGACACAGACACCCGTGGTGAAATATATGTTCGCTTTCCTCAACTGAGCTCACGAATTCCCTCACTAATTATAGGAAATTATAGACTAATTCGGGTAGGCATGTGAAGAAACCAACGAGAATTTCCCTAAAATTCCTCAGAATTTTCATATTGTCACCAACACATAGACATGGTCAACAACCAATACGAGGACCAACAGTGTGGCACCTGTCGAGGAACGGGCGAACATGACGGGATATACTGCACTGAGGTTCTGATTATCCACTCTAATATCTTGTACGGCTAGATGGAAATCCCTGAGGCAAAAGAATTTCAATTACGGCACGATAATCATACAATGCATGGCAGACCTGTGGTGATGCTTTATACTAGCAACGCCTTCAATCCCGATGATACCAGCAAAGAGTAGCTCGCTCCTGGGCCGACCTCGCACCGGTCCGATCAATGATACACCTATACCCTTGAATTCTGCTCGGTAACTGATAACGGAGCGCCATAATTTGTCAAATATCCATCCATCCGACAAAAGAGCGCTCGCCCTACACAGAATCTACTGCTCTATCTTGACGTTTACTCCCAGTTAATGGTCGTTGTCCTCTATCAGAGCCCGCCCGAATAGGCCCGGCAGGCAATGCCAGACGAGACACCCCTGTTCCGATAGCACTGCGACAGCAAGTATACATTATCAATGATACAGCGTAAGCTTACTCATTATAGAGGATGAAGACCTTAGTTGGTCCACTGCTCGTCACCTTATACTGGAGCCTTTGACTGCGGCCTCTGAGGGGTGCTACTAATACACCAGAATGCTCGAATGCTGGAGCACTAGGCCCGCCACTCTGAGCCGAGGCCCTCGCAGCTGACGCCTGACTGTTGCTTTGTTCTGGTATGAAGTCAACAATAGTGCCTAAAGGTAAGTGCGCAACTTCCCACCACGTGGTGAAGGCCAGGCCTCGACTCACTCCTTTTCGAGGCGGGGTCTAACAGAATCTCCAGTTTCTTAGGCTTGGTCGGCTCATACCAGGCAAACGGAGTTGAAGAGTGGCGGAGGAGTGGTATGAAATAGGCCTGAAAATACAGAATTGAGGCCAACAACAAGGCCTGATCCTACCCTAGTATGAGCCTGTCGAACCCACATAGAATTGTCAGAGTTGTTGCGTAGTGAGTAACTCGCAATGGTATAGTCCTCAGCGCCGAAGACAATAAACACACAACTGCGGTATGGCCGTACATCAACTCGTATATTCATGAACATTCCTGAAATGGGAATACGCCAAGCTTGAGAGTGGAGGTAATAAGGGATACCTTCCGTCTCTTGAAACACTTGACAAACAGCATCGCCAACAACACGGTCAACCGCGAGATGACCTGACCTACACACCGAAAGGTCCCCGGTTCGATCCCGGGGTAAGACATCTTACCAACCCCATCCAGCGTCCTTGAGCTTCACTTGCAGCATCTTAGGCAGATCGACTTGCCACCATTTAAAGCTCGTCTGCTGGTCCGGTTCCAAGTCAAGTGCCGTGGCAGAAGGCGAGTCCTACAAACGACGACATCCTGTTAGTAAGTCAACTGAGATGGTCCACCAAAAGTCATTCCATTTTGCTTTTCCAGTACGAATACACACCAGGGAATCGCCATAGTAGATAGGGTACTATACCTTCCTACCACGCTAATATATTGGAAATGTGTCGGTTGCATAAAGTCATAAAATACTCAAAACGTAAGAGTATTCACTATCATCATCATCATAATCATTCAGATGATCCGAAATATCCACATTCCAGGCGACCTAGGTCTATGCAGCATCAACTATATCCAGCTTAGGCGCATGCCAGAGCCCTAGCCACTCCTTACAGCTTGCTTCACTAGTATCGACCGGTCCGTCA